TCTGGTTTAAGACCACTCCAGCAGAGACTTCCTGGGCCAGAAAGCTAACACACCAGGTTGAGCTATTCCAGGTGCGTTACCTTTAACAGACAAGTTATGCAACTACAGTAGCTCAAGAGATGCTTTCAGTGCCCCAAATTCTAGAGCTCAGTTTCTCTACCTCTTAGTACAAAGAGATATTATGGCTCTAGGCCCCTTCCTGAACAGAACAGGGGGGGCTTTCTGAATGCAAGACAGCAATCCAAGGGATTGGAGTAGTTGGTCTGTTCACCCTTGCTATGGGCCCAAGAGCACCACAACTTCTGCAAGGTAACAAGGCAGCTGGTAGATAAAGTTTGCCGTTTTAGACTGAAGAGCGCTTCAACTGAACCCTTCGTCTTGAGGCCTTTCACCGAGAAGAGGCAGGCATATGTGGTAGCAGGCTAGACACATTCACACTGACTACCTACCCCACTGTAAAATCGTAGTGACCCTAGTCTCATCACAAGGTAAAAGTAGGATAAGTCACCACACAGGGTGGGGCAGAGGGTGGATAGTATTGACTTCAGCTTGTTTGGCTCACAGTTCTTTGTCTCCAGGATTTTACAACCAGTAACAGACTTAAATTATCCCACCATTTGGCAGTCAAACCCAAAGTGATGATGGCCAGAAAGAGGGAAAAAGCCAGAGTGGCAAAGCCTGATCTGCACAACAAAGAGCAACTCACAAAGACACTATCATGGACCCAGAGGGACAGACTTCCATCTTCAGCTTCCTCTGTGCAAAAATGAAGTTTATTTCCTACCTATGGAGACTTTTTACCATCTTTAAAATTTCCCTGAGCCTGATAAAGGGTATGTGAGCCCAAAAGCTTACAGAAAAAGTTTTTTTTGCTATTTCTTAGTTGGTCTAATGAAAGGTATCATATCTAAACCAAGACTCGTAGCGTTCTGCATTTATTTTCTTAGTGGAAAATATGCATTAATTTTCTACCTTACAATGACCGTTGTGTACTAGCGCTATGGCTTAGAGCCAAGCTCATCTCATTCACAAAAATAAGACGTTCCAGGCATAATTTAGTTTCTTTGCTTTAAGTGTTGTGTTATTATATTTTGTATAGCTACAGCACATTCAGCGCATTTTAAGTACCTGCACCCTAGAACCTAACTGAAACAGACATGAAACTAAGTACACTGGGGTATTTCCAGGAAAAAGAACTTGAAACTTAGCATGCTCTCAAGAAGATGCAAGTATTTCCTGTGTATTTCCCCCTCCTACACTGACATTAGCTTCCAGGTTTGAAGTTAAACTATTTATTCCAGAACTAGTAGAATGAGTTTTGAAGAGGAGTTTAATGGTTTAACCCTACTCACTCATTTTAAACTAACCATAGTCCTTTTTCTCCCCTGTAGCAGTTACTTCATTATATTCAATACAGCAGCTATTGAGTTACTGGAGCACCTGGTCTATATTAGTCAGTTTTCCTTCCATTTAGCTCTACTATTCAGTGGTGGTAATTATGAGGTTCCAGCAGCCAATCGTGTTTTAGTGATAAAAATATCTAGACCTAGCCCACACCAGATTAGGAAGTTAAGATTAAACTAGTGACGCTCTGCGTCAGCATATACAGGTTGCTGAAGAATGGAAGATATTTTTCCCCCGCTCCTAATGCTACAGTTCTGGAGGAGTTTGGCTCTCTCTCGGAAATTGCTTTTTTTCCGAGAGTCAAACCCCTCCAGAACTGTGGCATCAGGGAAAGTCTGACTCACAGCTGGTCAGACAGCAGCACAGTATTACTCAAGAACTGACAAATCCTAGGAAGGCACCAACAAAAAAAAACCCACCCCCAAAAAAACCCCACTAAATTTCCAAAGCTCCGGGCAGAGTACACTCAATGATGCGTCACCACTAGTAACGATTCTTGAAGGAGAACTAAACAGAAGTCACTGTTTATTCCAGGAGCAACTCAACCGTAGGAAGAAAAAGCAGGGTCAAATACTGGGTGAAAGCACTTCTACTGGAAATGGGGGTCTGAAGTAATCCAATAAGGAATCAGCACCATTCAAGTAAAATCCTCTATAGCCCAGCAACTTACTACATCTCAGTGCAGAAGTATTTAACAGGCTGCTCCCGTCTCATTCAGTAGCACAGTCACTTCATCACAGCAGCTCCGTTCTATGGCAAATCATTTCAGGCCTTAATCTATTAAGAGCCTGCATTCCTCCAGGTCTCAAAACAGGGACAAGTTCCATGCTGGCTGTGCGCTAACAGCATCACTGGGACTTACTTACACATTTTGTGTTCGTCTTCAACTCCTAGTTCAAAACACCCCGTCCCCCCCATAGTTAGAGTGGCCCAGTTCCCTATTGGGGATGCTGTTACACCATACTATAAACATGGAAGACTAAGAAACTAGTCAGATTCCAGCAATAGAAGGGGAGGAATTGATGCAATTCAAGCAACACAAAACCCCACGGTTCAGGCCACCCACCAGGAGCAAGTTAAAGCAAACAGTCAGAAATGAAGAGGTATTATGGAAAGAGGTTTTCAGCTGTGGTGTCCACAATATGCCCCAAATCCCCCAGCCACTTACAACATAGCACTTAATTCTAGTCATAGGCAGCTTCCGGCAATGCAAAGTTCCCTTGTTCTATGAACACTAGACACTCAGCTCCGCACTACTCTCCAGAGGAAGCTTCTTCCTTGACTACCATATTTAGTGAGCACAGCCTCCATCAGATGTCCAGTACAGCCACAAAGATCCTCATCTCGGGAGAAGCAAAAAAAACAAATTGAGAATCAGACCAAGTAAGGCTTTACAGTCAGCCAAGTGGTTTCAAGCAGCCAACGCATTCAGCCGCAATAAGGATTTTTAGTGAGGCTGGGACAGGCTGTGGGAATTCTGCTGAAGTCTGCACTGTGCGTCCCCCCCCCCCCCGCCCCCCCCCCCCCTCTTGGTGGGGGGGGGGGGTGGGGGGTCAAGTTTGCAGCACTCCGCCTTGCAGTTGGCAAACAAGACAGCAGCAGATCAAAACTAAAGCCATTCAAACACCAGGCAGGATCATCTAGAGAAGACAAAACCATGTTAGTGTTTGGAGTGAATCCAATTCATGCCTGTTGAGGGCCTTTAGTTGCCACATGGCCCAGCAGAGCTGTTAAAGCAAGGGAAAAAACACACACAAAAGGGATCCTAGCCATGAACACCATTTCCAGAGCTGTTGGACTGAAGGTGAATCTCAGAAGTCAAGCAATTTAGTCATCTTTGCCAAAGCTACTACAGGTTACCCAGACATCGCCCAAGGGTTTGTACACCAGAAAATAGCAGGAAGGGGTAAAGCAGGAGAACAACCTACATATACGAGAGTCAGTTTGGAACCTTTATCTCAACATCAAGAGCCTCTGAAAAGGGAGATCAGCCCTGAGCTTCCTCCACCTATGCAGAACCCAAGAGCTCCAGGTCACAGAACAGGGAGGCTCAGAAAGTTACTAATCTAGTAATCAGTAATCAATCATGTAAGCTTTGTTCCCAAACTTCTGTGAGATTATTTAGCAAGTCACTCAGTAACCAGCAACTGTCAGCAAGCTCAACCAGGTCAACACTTGCATCCCAGGGCATTTTGTTTTCTGAGCTTCAAGGATAAGTCCTGGAAAAGAATTGTGGACTGGGGAGGGGGATCCTTGTTCCTAGTGTTCAAACTCCAGAAGGGACTACACTGAACTACTAGATGCATCGAAGCAGTTAACAGACCGTTTTCTCCCATGTTGCATGGGTGCTTTTTAAGTGGCAGCCAATGGTTTTGCAGAGAGAGCTCCAGGAAGCGTCTACCTGTTAGAGCTCCGTAACCCACATTTGTCTTTGCAACACAGCTCACTGCTCTACTCTGGACAGGTACTGCTCATTCAGGAAACAGGCTGGCCCACAAGTGAAGCAGATAGGAAGAGACAGAGTTATTACATGCAGATAAGAAAACCTTGACTTGATTGGGAGGGACAGAGGAGAAACCAGGCAAAAAGCAGAAAGAACAGGCCTTGGGGATCAACAGTAGGACAAGCCAAACCGGTTTTAACGTTAATAATGCTGCACTACCTTCCAAACAGTGCCATCATCAAGACACCGACTTGGCCAATCACAGGCCCCACAAATTCTGGGAAGTGTTAATGCTCTTTTAAAGTGGTACTAACAAAGCAGGCAGGTGGTGCCGGAGAAAAAACAGAGCCTGGCTGCTTCACTAGGCCTCTCCTCTGCTTGCTCACCCTTTCCCTTCAGGCATAGCTCCATTAACCAAAGCCATCTAGGTGTCCCAAGTGCAAATGTGCAGCTAACACAACCCAGATGCCCTTCCAGGCCCTGAAGGACAAACAGCACAGCACCTCGGAGATTTTAGTACCATTTTCTATGGATCCTGTGTTCCAAACCAGAGGACTGCTCCCACATGTAGAAGTTATTACACCATGTTATTAAGGGGGCAGGCCAGCCACTTGGGCGGAGATTACAGAATTAGTGTCATCAGAAAACAGTTTTCCCAGCCCTAATATGTGCAAGGCTACCCCAGTGAAAGAAACCCTGCACAAATGGAAAGCCACATGGAGAGAAAAAGTAAAATAAATACATAAATAAATAAATAAAACAGAACGGATCCTGCTCCAAAGTCTCTCTGGCTTGTGTATTGTACAGGCTCTGTGGGAATATTTAGAGCACAGATTCAGAAGCCTGGAGGCCCTGCCCTTACATAAAACACAGGAAATCAAACCCATGCCCTCCTGGTCAAAACCAACAACACGGCCATAGCCTTCCCAGGTCCCCTTGCACATGGTGTACAATCCTGCTATGCCAACACCACTGAAGGGAAGCAGCATCCACATGTCCAGGTGACCTGTAACCATCACATCACCCCTCTGCTCTGCTCTCCCTCCTCCCACCACACACCAACCCAACCCTTCTCATTCACACCTATCTGCCCTCTTATTTCAGCTTTAGTCACACTTCAGACAATGTCATGTCTTGAGAGAGTTTTCACCACCTCACTGTAAGGAGTTCCAGCTACAACCGCACAGAAACATTTCATCTTTGCAAGGATCTGAAGACCGTAGCTCCTTCTGCTCCCCAGGCCCGCGGGGCTGCAGGGTTGATTTTAGACCAAATATGGTCACAAAGCACTCCAGAGTCCTAGTGACCCAGGCTGTTTTTGTCTTCATCTGGGCCAGCGCTAGCCTGGGTGGCTTTAACTGGGGGGAAAGCCCAACAGCAATGACAAGGATTTGTGTAGCCTAGGACTCTGTTCAAGCTGGCTGGTCAGAACAGAAGGCCACTGCCAACTGTTGAAGCAATAGAAATGTCAGCTACTGCGGTGAGGGTTTACTTGCCAAGCCACCAGCATGTTGGATCGGACAACAAGGGTGGAGCCACAGACTGATCAACACACAGATCACTGCTGGGGTCAAAAATCAAGGGTGATGCGAGGAGGAGGAGGGTGACAAAGCCTCCAATCCTAACAATCCCCCTCGCCAGCCGGAGGGGTCATACCTAAGGCCCCAGAGCAGCGGACACCTAGAAAAGCATCCAACAGAAGTAAAGGCTTGGAGCCCCGGCGAGCCCACGGCTGGTAAGAGCAGAGCCTGCGGGGAAGGCAGGTCCCCATCAGGAGGCCAGCACCAGGCGAGACACGATGGGAAGTTTGTGAGCTCTGGGAAAGAGGAAACAGAGGGGCGGCAGGGGGGACACGGCTGCCTCAGGCAGGCAAGGGCTGGGGAGGAGAGGAGATAACGAGCCATGGGGAGAGAAAGCAGGCGTGGAAAGAGGCCAAGCAACCTGTTGGAGCGGGAGCTGGGGGGCAGGCGGAGGACTGTAGAGCGGAGCCAAGGAAGAAAGAGGCAGCAGAGCAGCGAGCGAGGCCAGCCTTGGCTTGGGGGCAGGAGCCGCTGGCTGACACCAGCCAGGCACCCCCCAGCCCCGCGCTCCTCCTCGGGCCCTGCCCCAGCGGGTCACTCGGAGACAGGCTCGCGGCTCGAGGGGAACCGCTGGCCAAGGGGCTTCAGGCACCTCGCGACGCCGCCAGGGCGGGGGCCGAGCTATGGGGCAGGACAGGCCTGTGGGGCGGCCGCGGGGGAGGCAGCAGCCGAGGGGCCGGCGGGGGAGGGGGCCCCAGCCCCCGCAGGC